ATGATGCTGTGATATATTTTGGTAGTTTGAATTGTGGTGGAAGCGTAGCCTTTGTGCAACTGACTGATGGAATGAACTACTTCATTGATCAAAGTTTTTATTTTTTATTTTTTTCCGCTTTACACTTCAGGAAATTTCCTGTAACTGAACTGCAAACTTTTGTAATATATTTACAACAGGGGGATTTGGATCATATATGCTCTCAATGGATCAAAAGACATATGAGCTTATTGGTGCTGATTATCCTGGTAACAGGGCTGAAGATATTAAAAATCCATCTTTGGGTTGGATGATAAGTTTTACGTTTGTTGTCAGTTTCCTTGGGCTATTTAGCCTTGTTGCTCTTCGGAAGGTACTGTTATAGCTCACTGTTCACTGATACTTGATCAGTTCCTATAAAAGAAATGGATTATAACACCCTGTTGTTGATTAGATATGCATCAAAATGATATATTGTGTAATTTCTGCCTAAGTGTATAGATCTTCTGTGATCATAATAAAGCTTTTGAATGGTTTGTGCTCTAATTGTGCTAGTTTTGAATGTCTGCAGGTGATGGTAATTGATTACAAGCTTACCTACCCGAGTGGGACAGCTACAGCACTGCTTATAAATAGCTTTCACACTAATACTGGAGCTGAGCTTGCAAGGTAAGGTGTCTCGTGCAAGTGAATATGCTAGGTTTTCTTTTTATTCTTTACTTTTTTCTGTTTAGCACTAAGGTTGTTTTTCCTTTCAATTTCATGCACCCTAGCAACTATCCGTTCAAGATTTTGTTTTGCTGCTCTATTCAGTTCCATTTTGGACATCTGTATATTTGATTAAAAAATAACGTCTGACTCATACACCTGTATGGATTTCACATATACTGTAAAAGGATAATGCCAACATTCACGTAATAACCCAATCATTAGAATGGAGAAAAAAAAAGACCTTTCACATGTTATTTGAATTTTAATTTGTTGGCCTGTTAATTCCTAAATTAGGACTAAGCGAGGTTTTCTATCACGAGTAACATCATAAAACAAACCATTGTGTCTATTAACAGTAAACAACAAATTAAATTGTTTTATCACATTCTAATTATATGTTCTTTTCCCAGGAAACAAGTCCGCTCACTTGGAAAATATCTTAGTATAAGCTTCTGCTGGAGTTGCTTTAAGTGGTTCTTCAGTGGTGTTGGTGATTCATGTGGCTTTGACAACTTCCCTACCTTGGGGCTTGTCGCATTCAAAAATACGTATGTCTTCTTTACTTTGCCTCAGTTTTTTGTCATTGCGCGTCTCTAACAAATCGGTTTGTTTAATAAACCCTTATCTTTCCTTATGTATCAGCAATTTAACTTTGTGTTTGAGAAACTTTAATTGCAAGTTATGCTTCAGGACATCTGTATTCAGATAAAACAATAAATATGGATATCTTATGTTTTTTCCCTTTCTATACTGTTATATAGGTTCTATTTTGACTTCAGTCCAACATATATTGGATGTGGTCTCATTTGCCCCCATATAGTCAACTGCTCTTGTCTTTTTGGGGCCATTATATCATGGGGTTTCCTTTGGCCATACATCAATGCGCGTGCTGGGGACTGGTACCCAGATAATCTTGGAAGCAATGACTTCAAAGGTCTTTATGGATACAAGGTACATAAGAAATGCATTTTAACTATCAGGCATGCTAATATATTTATTTTCTGCATTTAACGTAGAAGTCCCCCGTGATTGGAAATTGAACATTTGGGAATGCTCCCTAGGCAAACGTCTTTTCTTCCTTTCTTATTTTTTTAAATTTATTTTTTGAGACTAGGGATGCTTAAAAACATGAAATTAAAACATATCTTATCAAATCTGATTCAAACTGCATGTACCCATCTGGAAAAAATATTTGAAATGTTTAACAAAAAAATCCAAATTGGTCAACATAGAAGATAATATTTTACTGGTTTTCATGCCAATTTTCACATTCATTACAGTGAGAATATTTATGTCTTGCTGATTGAATTGGTGAAACAAGCATTTCTGATGTGCATATCTGTGTGTGGACTAAAAATTAGTGTACTTGGATTCTTCCATACAAAATTCAGTTATCTTTTGCTACCTAGGAAGAAGGAAGGCAGACTATTTGACGAGACACGGATATACAGGATAGGAGGTATTTTTCTAGTTGTTATCAGGGAAATATGTAGACTAAGTCACTAAGCATTATGTAATCATTTAACATTCTTTATCAACATAGTGCATGAAAACTATTAAGGCGACTTTTTGGTATGGTGATTGCCACTCCATAACAAGGGGATACAATAAGTTAGTTGAAATTTAAAACTGAGGTGGAACATTGAGTTATGCTATCACTGTTCAAATTTTATCTCTGTTTCTTAATGTAGCCCACAACAGCTTGAAACCATATTATCAACATTTAGGCAAAATATCGCCAAATATATAAGATAGTTACTTGTGGACTTTGTTTACAACCTTATGTTTCACCTTCAAGGGTGATGGTATTATCTCACAGAGGAATCATTCTGTTTTTACTTTTAGCAACCATTAAGTTATCTATTAAATTATTTTTAGCTTTGCTTGAATTTGAAAATAATCCATTGCAAACTGTTACTCAAATTTATCTTGCTTGACTCTATTTAAACAGGTTTTTATTGCAATATCCCTTATCCTTGGAGATGGTCTTTACAATTTGATTAAGATAATATACATAACTACAAAGGAGATTTTTAATGCAAGGATGAAAAAGAATGCCCTCCCTCTTGTTTCAGAAAGTAGAGGTAAGTGTCTGTCTGCGTACTTGTTTTTAAGAATATTAGTTATTACCTTTATCTAGTCATGCTTGGTTAAAACCTTAGTTGGTGATTGAAACAATTTTCCTATTTTGATGCATACATTTTCTGTCATGTGCATTGAATCCAAGTTCAGGCTTTGCTGTGCTGACTCAAGCGAAGTTGAATTTACTTTTCAACAATGGTTTGACCTGACCTGTATCTGAAAATGATCTTATGCCGAAAGGCTTTACTTCTAGTTACAATTCCATTCTACTCCTTATCAAGGTGCATTCTCTTTATAATTGCAGGACTGTTGTCATAATCATTGTCCTTCTATCTTCCAATGTGCGCCTTTGTGATTTGAAGGATAATGCTTCTTCTTCCTTGAACATAAAATGTTTTGAAGATTAACTGTCAGAATGTTAATCTGGCTACTGTTCACACTCCTAGTTGAAGAAAGTTAGCTGTCATTTATTCAGAATACCTTCTGAAGTCATATGCTACTGTGAGAAATTTGTGTGATATCTTACAGTAGTACCCCTGTGTGGTCCTTAGATTCATCTATCGTTGTATCTTTGTCCCGCACATTAACTTTGTCCGTCTCATCTTTACCATCCTCATATCCATGGCTTCAAACCCACTATCATCAGCATACTAAAATCACTTTCACCAGATTCATGAATTATGTTTACTATCTTGTCTTTCCTTTCTCAGACCCCCAAGATGATGACTCCAAGCTACTTCTTGAAGAGAAGATTCGCAATGAGACATTCGTTAAAGATAGCATCCCATCCTGGTTAGCTGCCTCCGGCTATGTTGCCTTCGCTGCCATCTCCACAGCCACAATTCCATCCATCTTCCCCCAAATCCGGTGGTACCTAGTTCTTGCCTGCTATTTCGTTGCCCCCGCCCTGGCCTTCTGCAACTCCTATGGCTGTGGCCTCACTGATTGGTCTCTTGCTTCCACTTATGGAAAGATCGGCCTCTTTGTCTTCTCCTCCCTCGTTGGCTCCAATGGAGGAGTCATTGCTGGACTTGCTGCTTGCGGTGTAATGATGACCATTGTTGCTACGGCTGCCGACCTTATGCAAGACTTCAAGACAGGTTACCTCACTTATTCATCACCTCGCTCCATGTTCGTGTCCCAGTTGATTGGTACTGCTCTTGGTTGTGTTATTGCTCCGCTCACTTTCTGGCTTTATTGGACTGCTTTTGATATTGGATCGCCTGATGGAGTCTACAAAGCTCCATACGCTGTGATCTATAGGGAGATGGCGATTTTAGGTGTCGAGGGGTTCTCCGCTCTCCCTAAGCATTGCCTACAGCTTTGTTGTGTTTTCTTTGTCCTTGCTCTGGTCATTAATCTGCTCAGAGATATTTTGCCCAAGAATATATCAGCATATATTCCAATACCAATGGCGATGGCTGTACCGTTCTATATCGGGGCTTACTTTGCTATCGATATGTTCGTTGGTACTGTGATCTTGTTTGTATGGGAGAAGTTGAACAGAAAGGAGGCTGAGGATTTTGCTGGAGCAGTGGCTTCTGGGTTGATTTGCGGTGATGGAATCTGGACCGTTCCTTCGGCGATTTTATCAATATTTAGGATTGATCCGCCGATTTGCATGAACTTTGTCCCTGCAGTGAGTAGCTGAGGTATGGATGTTTGGTGAATGATATGTCTGGTACTTGTAGAATGATCTGTTTGTAAATAGACAATGTGTTCTTTCATATGTTCCATGGTCTTTGAGTAAGCATTTGATGTATGATTGAGTTAAAATTTACATTGTAACTATGATATATTTGGTTCATTTTTAATCCGAGATATTTCATGATATGATTTTTATGGAACGCTTGATGTCATATGATAGACACATGATGGATACACACTGATGTCATATGATAGATACATGATGGATACAGATAACAGAGCGCCAATTCGGTTAGGCTATCTATAA